ATATGTAGGGTAAACGAAGCGTTAACTGATATGTTACATTGGTGTGTGCGTGATTTTAGTTTCCTTTTCGGACTTTACTCGGACTCGCCGCGTACTTTTTAATATCTTGCCCGTATTTATTTAATTTCCTTTTACAGGAGTATCTATGTCCTTGCTTCCGCATCCATATGTCCCTCTTTGTTTATATCGTGTGTTTTTTTTTGTCTAAGAAAATCGTAAAATACAATCAAGAAATTGTTGAGCGACACTTTGGTGTAAATTTTCAGGTAGTCATGTAAGTTTAATATGTATACATACGCACACACGTATATGTCGGCAATTTATACACATACATATGTGGTTGTAGGGAAACGGTAAGTACAGCGTAATAAATACTCTTAAATCTTAATACATATGTTTCCTACATCTAACGTCATTGAAGTGAAATAAACAGCTTTTGGTGCCTGCGAAGAATCAGTGAACTTGAAACTTGCTTTGGTTAAAAAGAAGACGTTAAGGTTAAAAGCAGTTGAAAGAGAATTAAGACGTCTGCTGGAAACGGCTTTTGAAACACAATATATAAGTGTGCTTTTAGAGAAATGTTCAACAAAATTAGACAAAATGGTTTTTCAGTATATTTTAACTTAGTACTTACTTTAAGTTGATGGTTATAAATAAAATTGTTGTGGAAATACAACGAGAATAGCACAAAGCTAAACGAATCAAAATTTTCTTGCCAAATCATTCTTAGTTGATGTTTCTCCGCCGATCGAAACCGAAATCACTCATAACATTTTGAAACAGATTAAGTAAGAATTAGATCACCTTTACTTTTGTATAATACTATGTTAATACTAAGTTAATTAAGAAAAACCATCAACTGCGGCTGCGCCTAAGCAATAATACCTTTTCTCATGTTCAGCTCTTTCTTACACAAACATGGGTTTGATCGGTCTGTTTGTATGACAGCTATATGCTATAGTGGTTCCATTTTGAACAATTGCTTTGAAGATTTTACCGTTCTCGCGGACAATTATCATGCCTAATTTTGTGAAGAGACAAATAAAAAAGTTTTCCATACAAGATCTTGATTTTGAGTCTTCAATTTATATGACTGATATATGCTATAGTGGTCGGATACCAGTTCCGACAAATGAGTAGCTGATTGGTGAGAAAAGGATGGCTTAATCGACTTAACTTGACGCGCTGGTCATTTATACATATCTTTTATAGGGTCTCAGATCTTTCCTTCTGGGAGTAGCGCAGTTTCAGCTTAATATAGCCTGTTCAGAATATAATTACATCTCTAGAAAACATTGCAGAAATTATATTACTCAGGCTTAGTAAACGTTACTAGCAAGATTACACCAAGAATGTACTTTTAATGATTAATTTAAAATTGCCATACTCGAAATACTAGCAGCTCCTTTCATTTCTAAAGGTCCAACGGTGTACCAATTATAAATAGCTCTTACCCAAGAAAAAGATCTCTGACTGATTTTTGTACAAACTGGTAATACTGATAGCTAACTATGAGCAACGTCTGATGTTGTTGATGTTGTCGTATTTGACCTTACATTTGTAAAAATATTATTTGTAGTTACAACTATAATTCTAATACAGAGTTTTCCCGAAAAAATAATAAACGTTTTTGATTGAGATTTTTATAAAAACTTATTTTTTTTAGCACCATGTTACATTTAAAGATGATTGTCACCGCTAAATACAGAGTACCTTAAGATGGGTCAAAAACGAATATTTATTTATTTATTTCGCTTGCTACTCTTAAAAGTAGGTTCTTAGACACCTCTAAGAAAGTTTTTTCAAATATAAGCTCTTAATTGTAACGGGAGTTCTTCCACCTTACAACTTTTTATATTTTTGTTATTATCAGATAGAATGATTCAAATCTTGCTGCCAGCTACTTGAAAGAAGATCTCGTTTCGTGGATTTAGGAAGTTTAATACTCTGCAAACAAAAACTTTTATACAATTTTTTCGTAAACCTAACCGTTTAAAAAATATTATGGTTCAAGTTTGATTATTTTGCGACAAGATTTTTTTTGTAGTGAATTTTATAACACAATGAAAAATCATTATAAATCGGAAAGCTCATAGTTGTGTAGGAAATTTACTGCTCTATAAAATAATCTTATAAAATTTCTCGATTAAGCTAAGAGTTTACGAGATATTAATCGTCAAACATCATGGCTTATTATATATAATATATATATTATATATACAATATGTATAAATAGCTGTAAGAATAGAGAGCAAACCAAATAAATATAACATACTATGTGAATTTTATTACTACTACAAGTATAGGCAAAAGTTGATTCGAGTCTAACCATTTTTTTTTTTAATTTTTACTTTTATATTAATATTTATATTTTTATTCAGCTATTATATTCATTTTGATAAATATTTTTAAGCCTGTATTTATATGTAATATTTATGTGTTTTCAATTTCCACACAAAAAATGTCCACATTAAGCAATTAACGATTTTTTGCGACTTTTTTGGTAACCGAAAGCATTTCTGCGATCAATACTGATTACTTTAATTTGTTTTCTATTATTTATTTTATTTTATAAAAATAATGTGGCATAAATTGAAAATTTTGAAAAACACCACAACAACCAATAAATTGTTTAACAGCCAGCTTTTCATTTGGCTTGCGAAATAAAAAAAACTATATTTAGTGAGTTTCATAAAATAAATTCCTTCCACCTGAGTATTTTGTACACGACTTGAGGATTTTTTTTTGTTTGTGGTACGCCAAATGTTTGATATAAAAAACTGTAAAAAATGTATGTGCGATTATTTACAATAATAATCTAAAATACCGAAAAAAACGTCTACGAGTTTCAATGCTTGCATTCATTATTAATTTATTATTTCGAATTTGTTGTATCTCGTTTCAATGGCGCGCTGTTATTGCTCTCTATATTAACCGCCAATTAAACTGAATTCATCCATTTATTGTCTGCCTGGCACTGATGCTTTTGCCGTGGCAACCATAATATGGGCCAAATGTATTTACACAGCATTTGTGCATTTGCCATAGGTAGAAAAAATAATTGATATTATATATTTATTTTTTAATTATAAAAAATTGTTTATTAATAAAAATTTCGACCAAATAGTTGAATTAAGCATCGCAATAATAGATCAAAGGTCAAATCTTGTCTTCTATAAATGAATGTTTTATATATAGAACCAAGAGAATTTCTGCCAACAATATACAATAGATGCGGATAAATATTATGAATTTGCGATATACGCTACAAAGCAATATGGTTGCTTGAATTTAATACTAAAAGCTTATTAATTTAGCTTTAAGGAGATAGCAAAATCTCATACTATCTTTTATGGCTCATGTTAAGACATTTTGAATGATATTTCGTGTATTAAATGCCTCGCCAGTTAACCCATACCCACAGATTAAATTTTTCTATTTTCCGTGGAAAGTGAACTAAAAGGACAAACACAGTTCATCACCGATGAGCTCCAGCTGCGTTACTTATTTTTAATAATCTCGAATTTATTACTGCACTTTATTATAAAATGGAATCTAATTTTTTTTTTATAATTTAAACGCAATTATAATAAATAAATTGCAATTGGTGATCTTAAAAATATGACTTTTTATATTACATAGTTTTCAGAAAAATCGACTTAATGTGTAAATGAATTATTAAACTATTTTTTGAGCTGAATTTAGCAATTATATTTCAAAGCACGAAAATACTTTGTAGAATATTTTAACATAATTAACAAAAAAACTTTTCTAAAGTTATAATATATTAGTTTGCTTACAATTCAAGTGCTTAAATATTTTCTAGATATCAAATCGGTTGACCTGCTAAATATATTAGTATTCTCTCCGTAAAGCATATTAAAGATGGACTGAATATGTTTTGCGTGATTTATTTCCAGTTTTGGCTTAAAGGAGAGGAAAAATATAATCCATGAAAGAAATATACTAATTATGAGAATTAAATTATATATCCGTTTGCATATCACTGTACTTTTGGAAAAAATATCTTGCAATCAGAGCTGCGTACAAAAAAAATAAGCTAATTAACAAGATCGAATAACTTAAATGTAAGTTGCTAAATAGTGCTAGTGTGACGAATTTACTCGGTGTTCTAAGAAAATTATGTTGGTATGCGAGAGATCTCCTCGTTAAATAAAAAAATGTATAGAGTTTTGGATTCGCTGAAAACAGAAGCCTTCACTCATAGAGAACAAATTCCAGTAAGGAAGCATTATTTCATTCAGAAATAGATCTATCGAAATCATTTCAGCGCTCTAAAAGTGGCCTAACTTTGACATTTTCTTCTGAGAGTATGGAAAAGCAATCGACTGTCTTTCCTTCGATCTTTATTAAATATGTATTTATACTTTATACTAGTAAAGTGCGATTAGCTCAGCTTAACATAAATTTTACGCAAACTGGAGGACTTTTAAAAAGAGTCAACATTTTCACCATAAAATTAGCAGTAAATTTTTATAAACAAGAACATAAATCCGAAGCTATAATATCCTTCACAAATACAATAGAGTCCATACAGAATTGGATTTTGATTGGTCAATTTGTATGGCAGCTATATGCTCCAGTAAACCGATCTGTACGATTTTTTCGAAGATTGTAGAAGTACGTTTGACATAAACATACAAAATTTCGTGAAGATATCTTGTCAAATAATCGTAAGTAAGTGATTTTATCTATAATACTACAGTGAAGGTATAGTAAAAATTTCAAGTGCGTATATGCAATTTATTATATTTATTGAATACCACTGTTGTGAGATTTGAGAAATGGGGTTTTACGAAAAACTCTTTTAATATTTTATCTGTTGAAACTACTGCAGTTTGAAAAGATAATAATTTTTTTCACCATTCTACAAACTTAATACTTTAAAGACGCTTAAATGTACTTTGAGAAAAAAAAAAATGAAATTCAAGAAGCTTCTTGCAAAATTAAAAGAGCTCATCAACGAACTGTGTACATACCTGATTGTTTGCAAAATTGCCTTTCAACAACAGCACTCCAGAGTCTCACAAGTGTTTACACAAACAAATTTTCGTTTTATTTACAACACATCTGCAACGATACTTTGCAAGAGCAACACTCACAACTCAAACGAGCAACTGCATTAAGCGCGCATTTACGGAAATTTTAATGTCAACAACTTTTGTTTTTACGAACCGCACAAGTGCCACGAAAACACTACCGGCAACAATGTGCTCAAAAGTAAGTAAACAAATCTAGGTATGTATGTATGGGTGAGTGTGTCTGTGTAAGTGCTTGAAAAGCACACCGTTAACGACAAAGTGAGCAAATGATAATAGCCTACCGCGCCTTACTCTAGTAATTTGCTTCCGTTTAACTCACACAGCACGTAAATTTAGTATTTGTACTTTCGAAGAATACGCAAGTGTTTAAGAATCAGCGCGCCGAATAAACGACAGCGTTCAGTAATTTGACACACACGCGCACACGATTTAGTGCAATTCTTGATTCAGCATACACGGAATTTATTTATTGCCGCAATTGCTGGTATTCACTAATGTTGTTCTTTTTGTTTTTATTTTTATTGCTGTTGTTCTTGTTGCGTTTATTATATGTATTACGCTCACGCAAACAACAAATTGTTGCTGGCAATTTCACATTCGCTTTCTTTGTTGCTTCGTTGCTGCAATTCGCAGGAACATCAAATTTATATTCGAATTACCGCACATAAAGTGCTTAATGCGGCGCCTGTGTATGTGTATGTGAGCGCCCGAATACTTATGTTTGTGTATGATTATATGGCCGTTGTATATTTGTAGGCGCCTCGCGGCAGCACTGCCGGTGCGTGCTTACTACGCTGCGCGCACAACACGCGTGCAAACACCAAAAGTACACGACGTATGTGTAAATGTGCGCTTGTATGTGCGTTGGTATACGCGCTGCTGCTATGCAGTTAAGCTGTTAAAGTACACTAGATGTTAGTACATACCACTTATACATACAGGCGGCGGCGATGTATGCGCGTGAAGGCGTTACTATTCGCACACTGAACACAGCGCTGAGGCGGCTCGCAGTTCGAACGCAGCGCACGTATACATACGTTGGCGACGTGACCTATGTCAATGGCAAAACGACCGCGCAATGTTGATTTTATGATATAATTTGCCAATGCAAACGCTAGCGGAAATAGATTTGGCTGGCGCTGACTTATTGTATACCCGCGCGCACACACATACACTCACAAACACTTTTACAGCGCGGCATCAATAGAACTAACTGTCCTAAATTCCGTGAAGCTGCCAAGATGCTACCACGCCAGAAAACAAGAAAACAGGGGACTCGTAATTTCGTTCGTTAAAATGGAAAACTAACTGTATCAGCTAATGCACTAACGCAACGACCAAAAACGCTACGACGAGAGATGACGAGCTCAACGACTATAGTCGCTTAAGACACACTGACGACTGATTCGGGCCAAATCAGTTGAATTCGAATGGCGAGCGCTGCGCTTACACCGAGTCGTATTGGAGTTAGGCAACGCAGAAGAGCTGTCAGCAAAGGTGTGAGGGCGGTCGGGTGGCACAATGTAGCGCAGCAGTAGTTTTATGTGCCTTATATTTTTATGCTTGCTTAAGAGCAATGTGTTGCGTTGGCGCGCCATTCGTCATACAAAAATGGCAAGCACGATGCCGAGGTGACGCTGGCCAACAGCGAAAATGTGGCATGTGGAAGTGCTGGCAGTAGAACACATAAAATTTGTAGTACGAGACTTCACATTTATGCGAGTGTGTGTGTGGGAGCCGCAATGTAGGCGCTGTAGCTGCATTAAGCATTGTGCGGCCGAAGTACTGCTAATAATCGGGAATAGCGCCGCGGTAGCCTAGCGCATGCTGATATAGCGGGAGTAGAGTGGCACGCTGAGAGCACAGGAGCAATGCCGATGGCACAAAATGGCATGGAACACATACGAAGTGCGTGCCAGAGTAACGGCAAACTTCAGCGCTAGCTAATAAACGACGAGTAGCCGCATACGAACGCCTGTTGGTCCGGCTTTGCTGCCACACGACCTACAGCAAGCCGAACCGAAGTGCGAAATCAGGACAACGAACCGCAAATACGCAACAAAACCGAGTACAACAACAAGTGCAGACCACTTACTATTCGTATGAATTAAATACTGCATATAGGTAGGCGCTTTAACAGCAAAAATCAAGAAAAGAGAGTGTACTAAGCAACTGAGCGCCGCCACTACGTATGAGTAATGTTAAAATTAATAACAGCGAAGTACTGCTGCGTGTTTCGTTTCACAAAATGAAGAGAGTAACGCTCTTAACTAAGAGCATTGAGGTATTCGGTGCAGCTGATTGAAACTGTGTCAATCACAGCGTCCATGTAAAGCCAAAAGTGTTACATTGGAAAGCGGCTGTTGCTGCTTGGGAAGCTATTGTTGTTGCTGTTTTTATGATGCATACAACACACAAGCAAACCACGCACACACACAAACACATATACATTATTTGTGCTGATATATTTATAATGAGCGTTATTTGTAAATAATTTTCATTTTTGCGCATTTCGCTGCTTTTATACACAAAAGGCAAGCATAGAGAGTGAGTAGGCGTGTTGTAAGCGCGGTGAATGGTCTGTGTGTGTGAGTGTGCGTGTATGTAGTCAACAGTTTATCAGGCAAATTTCGCTGTTAATGGCGTTGGTGGCAGGCTTTTGTCTAGTGCCGGCAGTCGGTGTAAACTAAAGCACAATGACAGCAGCTGCAACAGCAACAAAGTCCAGCTGACAACAAATATAATGTCAACGTCGACAAATTGCGGCAATAACAATAAATTGCTGTTGCTGCTCTTGCTGACTCACAGCGGCGGCCAGTGGCACGCTACTTGCAACTGCTTTATGTACTCATAGCTGTTTAGGTGTGCGTATACCGTTACACTACTATTTCAGTTGCTTACCATTTTTATACATATTTTGTCTACTTTTAGTTTTACTGCCTCACCTCAGCTTGTTTACTTGCCCGCACGCCAGGCGTGCGCGCTTATTTGCTGATTTGCCTGTGGCCAGCTCTAATGGGGCAGTTGCAACTTGTTGTTTTGCTTCGAGATTTACGTTAATTTAGCGTTTTACTACAACTTTATGATGCACATTTGAATTTACGATGCAAACAGTGAGCAACACTTCGCTGAAGGTGCAATATTTAAGCATCGAGTTATCAGATTGTAGGGTATAAAGCAATTACTAAGTAATTTGTTTGCTATTTTTCGTTGCGCGAATATGCGAAGTAGATCGTATATGGCTAGGAAGTAGCTTAAATAAACATAATTAAAAAATTATTTAATTGATTTGAGATATTATGTTAAGGGAGGAAATAGTGTTAGCTTATTCATAAATTGATTTTTTACTTAATAAATTGTTTAAGAAAAATATTTTTCCAAAATTTCAATTGAAAATACTGGATATTTTTATTAATATTTTTTACTATTATTGTGGTACAGGCACCGAGCGAGAGTTTATTTTTTTTTTTTTTGTTCTCAAAACGACTTATTTTGGAAGTACGCTAGTTTCGAAAGTTTTCAATAAATCGTTTTGAAATTGGCTAATACTTTTTTCATTGTCTATAACAGTTAATAAAACTACTATCATAATATAATCAATATTTAAAATAATTTTCTTCGGTGTTTTTTAAATAAGTTCTACAATAAATTTAAAGTATACGCTTAAATAAAGGTGTAGAATATTCTCAGTAATTTATTAAATGTTTAAAAATTGTATAATGTAAAAAATTAATGAAAATCATAGAGAAAACATTCAATAATGAGCTTAAAATGTTACTTTTTTCTCTTAGTAAAATAATAAGTGATTAGCGGCATAAAGCATTGCGATTATAAAAATAGGAAACAGCTTTAAAAACGAATACTCTCCACAGTTAGTCGGTAAAGCTTATGAAATTTCGCAATTAGAATAAAAATGTGGGATATTTCCAAAAAAAAACCGTTACTACCTTCTGAAATGTTAAATTTTTTAATTTGGCAACGATGGTCATGCATGAAATAACTGTTCTACAATATCACTACCGCCGTTCAAAGATTACTTTTTTCATTTAAAGAATTAATTGGAGAACTAGTCTAAAGTCTAAGCTTATCCCAAGCAACTCCTGAACAACCACATTTTACCATATTGTTATGCGGTCTTAATAAAGAACGCATGCAAATTTATATTAGAAGAACAGATTAAAAATATAATTTTGAGTCCTTTACTTATTACCTTTTCATGGATTAGGAGTTATATCCATTTTTGAATTTGAACATACCCATTTTTTTTTGTGTGCACTGGTTGCAGACATGGTAGGGACGACGCCCACTTCTTAATAACTTAGGTTTTAATACCTTGTCCCTATGCAACGATGATTGACAGGAGTACTTTGTATTTATTGTCAATAATTTGTAGAATGACGACGTGAATCTTGTTTTGGCTTCAGTTGCCAGCGGTTTAAGCTAACAAAAAAAAAAGTTGTTTAAAAAGGAAAATATCGAATCAAAACATGTCATTAAAATATTTTGAATGGCTACATTATTAACAAATTATTTTTAACTTGGAACTTTTTTATTTAATTTAGTGTAATCAGCTTCAAAACCTTCAAACGATTTCTGTTAATAATTTAAATTTTTAAGTTAATCTGCAGTGTAATTAATTTCACAAAAAAAAAATTTTTTTGGAAGCCGCCGTTTTGCGAAAAATCTAAAATTTGAATAATCCTTTGACCATTACCTGTATTCATCTATAATACTAATAATTTCTTATTTTATTTTGTGGATTTATGATACGCAAATAAATCTTTCTTAACGACACACATCTGTTTTCGGATTTACTCATGAAGATCGGTTACGAGATCAAATTTTTTAAAATAAAGAGTTCTTTGTATGAACTGAATCACAAAGCCATTTATATTATAAATTTAAATAATTTCTTAATTTAATTAAAAGATAATACTTGTTTTTTAGCATTTTTACGTTCACTTTTAAATACTTCACTAAACTTTTTACGTCTGTAAGTACAATATATAAATTTTAAAAATATTTAGACTATTAATCAATATTTCAATCAACATTTTTAAACCTGGGATGCTCGTATATTAACAAATATAAACGAATTATAGAAATTTTACAAATTTTTTATCAACTGTTTAATCAGATAAAATGTCATTTAAATGTCATGGCGATGTTAAATACTTTAAGCCTTGATTGTCAAATGTACCAAAAAACAAGCAGATATACACCAGAAAAGAAAATTTATTGAAAAATTCAACCAAAAATTTATGGAGTATCACTTTCTCAACGAATAAAACTCTCCCATGTTAGGAAGGCATGTTTAAGCTAGGCAGAGCCCCAAAATTTGTACTACATTTGATGAAATCTTTTCATTTAATATTTGTGAGAGTTTTAAGGGAAGTTCATACATACATACTAGGGTGTGTCAAAAAAAGTAATGTTTTTTTTCGCTTGACACAGCGAAAAATAGTTGGTAGACACGTTTAAGAAACGCGCTCCAGGTATCAGCTCTTAATTGTAACGGGAAGGTCCTCTGCTTTACCGTTATCTAATTTAATTCAATATAGCATTCAATTTCCTACTCCTAAATGGTCTTTTTTTTTCTTAATTTTTTCTAATTTTTTTCTTGTTTTTTTTCTTTTTGTTATTTGCGTTAGACGATGAATATCTCCTGAACGCTTAACTTAATTGAAAAATTATACAGAGCATTTCTGAAGTGCAGAAACTTTTTTACAAGACTATAAGCTTTAAAATTTAAAATTATGTTTTTTCATTGAGTTATAAAACTCACAAGAAAATACAAATTTGCCTTATAATAATCAAACCGCAACTGTTTATATCTTTTAAATGATTAGGTTTACGAAAAAACAGTAACTTACAATTTGGACTCACCCTAATACATACCTATGCACATTTCCCTCCACTCACAATACAAGCTCAAATTAATCAGATTATAACTGCTTCTATTGATGTTTGCACAATCAATAAAACTCAACAAAATCCCTTATCAAAAATGCATCCATAAAAATTTCATCCTTTACTGCACGTATCCAATCAACCAGCTAAAGTGAATTATTTACACAAATCTGATTGTATTCGTATATTTGTATATATACGTATGTATGTGTGTGTGTAGTTGTGTACATTGAGAAAATTCTCTTTTAAGCAATCGTTTACAATCGTTCCGGACAGACATGCTGACAAACAAACGGATTGTACAGTTAGATGGCGAGCAAAGTGCAGTTGAATGCAATCTAATTCCTCCAAGTAAAGCAACAGTTAGCGAAAAGCTCGCGCACGAACGCGGCCTATTTTCAACACACGCACATACACACACACACAGACACCGCCACCGAGCAGGAAACTACACCGACAGATAGGCAAACAAAAGAGCATTGCAACAAGCCGCACACATATGCACGCGCGTATATATGTGTGTGCATGCAAATCACAAATATATGCAGTCTATGCAAACACACACAACGCTCACAAAGCGCCGCGTTGCCGTTACAATTCAGAAATGAAATAAAAACGTGCAAACAAATGCGCGC